TAAAATTTATTAACCTGGGACTGACGCCACTGTTCATTTGGGTTCCTTCGCCATTTTGGCTGCTAAGTTTGGTCTGCTAAGTTTAAACCAGTTTTTCTGACAATGTGCTTCTGGCATATTTTGTGGAACTTATGGAACAATTTAAACTTAAGCAATATATTCTCTGTTAGGAACCTTTATTTCCATGAAAAATAATGTGAATATTGAAATCCCAAAATAAAAAAATCTGTTGATTAAATAATAGTAATCAAATTCCCCTATATAATTTACATCAACTCTTTCAGTACCATCTACTTCATCTGAAATACCTAAAAATACTAATGGACACATATTTATTCAAAATTGCTAATATTTTACTTTTGAATTACTATTTTTTTAATTAATTATATTTACTAAATGTTATAAAAACCTCGCTATTATAAATGTATAATTGTGGTTGTAGATAAAGTATAGTAACTTAACTAAAGTTGTAAGAGCAATTACATGCTCATAGAATTACTACACAACTCGGCTCGTGTGCAACTTTTCTACTCGCATGTAATTAGCTTCTTACTACTCTTGTTATGTAATATACTATTACTTTATACCCTACAGGTTTACAATCCCTTTTAATCCAACCGGTTCTTTTATCGTTCTAGCATCAAGTCAAGTGTATAGTGCGAATTTGAATTCCAGTTGTTTTGTTGTTTAATAATGAGGGACAGACAATTGACAATCACTGGGTAATGAGGTAATTTGACGATATGTGAACAGCTGTTAGACAAACGATGGTGCAGTTCGAACGACCCGTCTACATTTCGGGGTGGGTAACGTCCCGGGGGAATGAGCGAACTCGACCGGACTCAACAGCGGGGAATTAAAATTTATCCACGAGCACCACCCAAGATTTATTTTTAATTGAATTGGATAAACAGTTTGGTTTTGTTCGATGCAAAGTGATTGTTCGGGAGAAATGAGATGTGAAATATAAAAAAAAACCAGTCGGTGTAGATTCAGTCGCCATTTTTTTCTACATTTTGAATTGATAAAACACTAAATGTATTAAATTTTTGAGTTTATACAATTAGAAAATAAAAGATTATCCATTGACTCAAATGTGGTCGGTTGTGAAGTAAAAAAAAAAAATCTAAAATTCAATACTACAATTAATAATATAGAGAGAAAAAGTAATTTATTTTAGCAAAATACTAATAAATACAAAACATAAGAGTTTCATTCTAAACCGATATTAAGAGTAGTCCATACTACTTTAGATTCTTCTAGTTTCGATTTTTTATCGCTATTCGTTTTTACATATTGGACATTTTTCCAAATTTTCACTTGTTTTTTATGTGTCTCCCTTAAATAAAAATTACATTTTATTCTAAACCAATATTAAGAATACTTAAAATTTTGTAAAATTGTATTTTCTTTTGAATTGTTCTAGTTTAAATTTTTTATGTCTGTCTAAACCTTTTTTCATAATGGACATTTTTCCAAATTATCTGTTTTTTATGTATCTCCTTTAAATAAAAATTACATTTCATTCTAGATCAAAAAAGATGTGAATTTATTCAACCAAATTTAAAAAGCTTGAGTTAGTTTCTCTTACCCTAAAGTTTTGTGAATTAGGTTTTTCTTCTGTAAATTTTTTGTTTTGTTTTTGGCTTCAAACACCCTGAAAAATTATTTTTTTGTCTATATGTAGTGTATGTCTATAATATATTTGAGTCGCTCAAAAGCATAGCAAAATTAAATTTTTGAGATAAAGGCAAATATAAAATTGAGCATAAATTAAAACCAGTTTTTCAGTTTTAAAGTTCTATTTTATTTATAAGTAAACATATGGTCAGAAACGTATACATTTTATAAGTCTAAAGATAAGAAAAACATATCAAATCAATTGTTACTTTCAGAAAAAAGTTAGTTAGGCCTCTCTGCCAAATTAAAAACTTTGACAAAACAATATAAATTGTCCACTTGGGTCTCTTATTCATCTGTTTCTGGCCCAATATCATCATCTTCTGCTTGTTAGTTTAGAGAAACTGACACAAGATACCTAAAATTGTAGATTTAAATTTACGCCCGAGCATGCTTTACGATTTCATCATCTTCAGTATCATCGAATGACAGCTTTCTAGTTGGCACCTGTTTTCTTTTATTAGGTACTTTATCAGCCTTGGAATGTAGATCTAAGGTAATTTCAACTTTTTTTTAAATTTGGTACATCACTTATCATTATCATTTAAAATTAAAGAACTATTAAAATACAGACCACTGAAAACTTAAAGATAGAAAATAAATTGTGTATCTAGTTGTAAAATCTGAGCGGATCACTTCACCGGAGATTGAGGTAGTAGCCCCAAAAACTACCTTCTCATAGGTATACATATAGTATGAATTTATAATAAAAGTTAATAAAAAAAGATCATATATCCTGTGAGATGATAAAAGGTATCTAGATCAAGTAACCCCCTACAAATCTTTCATTTTTAAATAAACTATTAAAAAAATACCCTGAAAGAACTCATAATCCAAAAATAAAAGTATAACATTACTCACCAGTCTTATATTATATTTCTTTATAAAGGCGGCCAAAAGATTTGTTTTTTACTCAGTGTCAGCCATTTTCTGCTCACCTTACAACCGCCAGACCGTCATCATCCGATTTTTCAAACTCAACAATGCAATACATCTGTAAAATACCAAATTTGGTTTAATATACTCTATTATTTTGTCACAATATATTTTTTACCTTTTCCTAAAACATCTTATCAAATAAAGTACAATTTAAAAATGCACCACTTTCACGAGGTCACGACTGTCACGAGAATCATGAAGATGGAGGAAACAGGAAACAACAATGACAATTGACAATATGATATTGTCAAAATATTTTTTAGTTTAATACTAGATTGATATAAATAATTGCACCAGATTTCATAAAAATGTACTAGGATCGGTTTCCTCTCTGGATATTATTAATTGTTTAGGATTTATTAAGCCTTTACGGTACTTTTACTAGTTTAACTCATAATAATTACACTGGACGATAGCGGACAATGTATTGAATTTCGTTTCTAGCGTATGTGTTACCTTTAGGATGTACTAGATCCAGTACAATTGTACTAGATTAGCAAAACTCATTGCCATTTGACGTTCGAGGATATCGGAATTGGGTTAGCAATACATTAAAAAGAGACAGGCAACAAAATCTTGAATGATTCATGCTAGAAAACGGAACGTTACTAATTACGTAATTATCCATATCAAAACATAAGGCACCGTAATTTTACCAAAAAATTTTACAAACTACAGCTCAAACAAACTTACTATATACGTGTTTACAGTTGAAGCAGATTTTCAATTAGGTTCTTTATAATTCAACACTTAAGTATTAAAATATACGAAACAATAACGTAATTATGACGAATTCTAAGTGACGTCTATTCTATGTCATCAATGCGACGCCAAATACACGTTACTAATTAGGATATTGTATTTCGGATAAATTAATACTAAAAAATTACGTCATAATGACAAGTCTACATTGACGTCTAATTAATGTTGCAAAAACGTCGTCAAAGTAACGTCATTAATTGGGATAGTGACCTTTTTGACGAGTAAACCCAAAAAATCACGTCATAATGACGGCATCTTGTTGCTTGGGACAAATAATATATTTTGATTGATGTGGGTTTAAAAGCAGTTTATTGGTGTTCATACAGCTTTTAATACAATTTAATATGTTGACAGCTGATATAAGCAAGTATTAAAAACATATAAAACTGTTATATCGGAAAAAATGCATTTTGCAATCATTTAAGTCATTTAAAAAATATAATTAATATACATTATGAATAGCAGGAAATCCCAATAGACTACCTTGCGGCACTCCAGTTTTAATGCGCATAGTTATTCAGAATATGTTTTTAGTTTCGTTATTTGATACTGATTCTGTAATAATTAAGATTGAAACTACTTATAAGTGGAGTTGTCAAAGCCAACGTAATATTTTAGTTTGATTAACAAAATTTCTTTATCAGCTATCTCAAATGTTCTTTTAAGATTTAAAAATACTGTAACTGCAATATGATTTGTTCTATCTTCTAAGTACTTATTTGCGAATTTAATCATAGAACAAAATATTATAGTGTTCTATCATTTTTAAAAAAATTTTAAACTGTTTAAATTGACCGCACCTGAAGATGGAATAATTGTATTTTCTGAACCATATGTAGTGTTAGAAAATAAAAACATTTTACCGATTAAACCAAGGACATTTTTATTTATATAAAATTCTGCTACGGTCAGGAAATTATTCTTATTCAAAATATTATAGGATGCAATGTAAATTCTGGATTCTGCGCTGAAAAAACAACAACTACTGCTATGCTTTCATTTTACAACGAAATTATTCACCATCTTTTGTAATCTGAGTAAAGCATTCCATTGTGTAAACCATGAGTTGTTATTAAATATATTAGAGAAATATGGAATCAGAGGCACTGTTTTAAATTGAATCTCAACCTTTTTACTTACCAGGAAGCAATATATTTCTTTAAAAGTACAAAACAACAAAATCAACACTCTTAATTCTGATCCACTAGATATTAATATGGGAGTTCCTCAGGGTTAAATTTTGGGACCCATATTGTTCATACTGTATGTGAACAATGTTGACTCATTAATATAAATCAGTATGTAAGCTATGTAAATGATTTCTCGGTTATAATTTCAGCTAAAAATACAGTTCTACTAAACAGCGAGAACTCCGTGTAAGTCCTACGCATATTTTATTCTATTTTTTAGTTTTTGCTTTTGCTTTTATTATATTTTTATTTATTATTTTATTTATTTGTATTTTGACGAATTCCATACAATTGTATTATCTTATGGAAAATAAATCATATTTTCTTGTGAAAATTGGGTTGCCAGTCTCTTGTAGCTTTAGTAATTAAAAAACCATAAACTTTTTTTATTAATTTCATATTTTGAAAGGATAAAGAGAACATTTCCTACTTATTTTAAAAAAATGATGTATTTATCTGTTTGTTTTAAAATAATATTACATTAGCAATTGGATAAATAAAAAATGACAATATAATTTATGAAAAATGTTATGTTTCCATATCAGCGTCAAAAAAAATAGTCATGGTTAAGTTTCCTCTGAGTTTTCGTATTTTCGGATCTAAAAAAAAAAGCAAAAAATTAAAAAAAATGTATCGAATATTATATGGGAGTGGGTCATACCGTTTTTGTCAGACTCTATTTCGAAAACTATTTAAATAAAGACGTTAAAATTTCTTAATTATAAACAAAAGGAGCAAGAAGAACCTGACATATTTGTAGAAAAGTTTTATATCTTCCTTGTTGAAAAAGATATTAAAAAAATATATTAAGAAAATTATGGACATGTTTGAGGTTAACATTTTAAAATTATTGGGAGGTATACAGGGTGTTGCATAGCTCGTGTACGAACCAAACATATGTTTTTTTTTAATGATAACCCCAGTATATTATTTTAGATTCTGTTTACTCATCTTTTTTCCATTCTTCTAATATATGGTTTGTCTATGTTATATAGGGTGCTTTCAAGGAATTCACATTTTTGTAAGAGAATCGTACATAATTCAACGTCCAGCGGCCAATTACTCACTGTAGAAAAATGGTTTTTTACCCACACCAATTTTATAATATGATGTATTATACTTTTTTAGTTATATTTTTATTATCTGTTTATTTTATACAGGGAGACTCAATACTCAGATCCTTGATTTTCTTGTTTTATTTAAATGGGACACTCTATATTTTATATCACCAGTAAAATCATCTGTTCCAAGTCTTTCATTTCTATAAAGCATTCCCTATACCTAAAGTTAATATTTATCGATATTTTTTAACAATAAATGAAAATTACGGTTATTTCGATAAATTAAACTAGTTTTTCATAAAATACTCTTTATAAACAATAATAAATAATATGTGTTATTTTTTATCTAGTCGCCAATGCATTTAATATACCTGTCACCGTCCTGTTGACAATTTTGACATTTTAAAAATCAAGAGCAACTGCCTGTGTGTTAATGTTTTAAGTAAATTACTAATAATAAGATGAAAAATACGAATTTTTCTATCCCAGAAATGGTGGATATGATTTATATACTAGGTGAGTGCAACAAGAATTCTTTACTTGTCTCTAGAGTGTACCACCAACGATATCCGGAACGCCGGAAACCAAATAAAAAGGCGTTTGAAAAACTAATGGACCGTTTTAATCGTACTGGTACTGTATCATACAAGCAAAAACAAGTAACAAAAACTGCTATCACAGAAGAGAATAAAATGAAAGTATTGCTGATTATTTATGATGATCCGCATATTAGTAAACGAAATATTTCAAGATAACAACAAGTCAGTTACGGAACTGTTCAAAGAATCCAATCAAAATATGAAATGCATCCTTTCCATATCCAGTTACATCAAGAACTTCCTGAACGGGATTTTGAAAATAGAGTGATATTTTGTGAATGGTCCCAACAAAAAATTAATCAACAAAGAAATTTCTTTGATTTTGTGCTTTTTGGTGATGAATCGACTTTTCATAAAAATAGAGGTTAAATAGGCATAATTTTCACTATTATTCTACAACAAACCCACACATTATAGTCACTCATTGCCAAATGAGGTGGTCATTAAATGTTTGGTATGGCATTGTGGGTGAATATGTGATAGGGCCACACTTTTTTGAAGGACCAGTAACTAGTGCAGTATATTTGAATTTCCTTGAAAATCATTTGCCTACGTTGCTCGAAGATGTTCCCCTTCACAATCGCCATCAAATGTGGTTTTTGCACGATGGTGCACCAGTCCATCACACTGTAGTAATTCATAATTATTTAAATAATCACTTTCCAAGACCGTGGATCGGAAAAGGAGGACCGATAGGGTGGCCAGGGCGATCACTGGATTTGACAAAAAATGATTTTTTTCTGTGGGGTTATGTAAAAAACAAAGTATATAATGTGCCTGCAACGACAAAAGAAAACATGAAAGCTCGAATCAGAAATGTATTTCAAAGTATTGTTGTTCAATTGCTGAGAAATGTAAGTCAGTCATTCGAAATTCGATTACAAAACTGTACTGATGTTATGGGAGGTCACTTTGAACAACTTTTATAATTATGTTTTAATTGTTTTGTTTGTTTTTGAGTTTTTTTGTATTCACACATATTATTTATTATTGTTTATAAAGAGTATTTTATGAAAAACTAGTTTAATTTATCGAAATAACCATAATTTTCAATTGTTAAAAAATATCGATAAATATTAACTTTAGGTATAGGGAATGCTTAATAAAAATGAAATGCTTGAGACAGATGATTTTACTGGTGATATAAAATATAAGGTGTCCCATTTAAATAAAACAAGAAAATCAAGGGTCTGAGTATTGAGCCTCCCTGTATACGAATAAACAGATAATAAAAATATAACTAAAAAAAAGTATAATACATCATATTATAAAATTCGTGTAGGTAAAAAAATTTTTTTTTCTATAGTGTGTAATTGGCTACTGGACGTTGAATTATGTACGATTGTCTTACAAAAATGTCAATTCTTTGAAAAGTACCCTATATAACATAGACAAACCATATATTAGAAGAATGGAAAAAAGATGAGTAAACAGAATCTAAAATAATATATTGGGGTTATCATTAAAAAAAACATATGTTTGGTTCATACACGAACTATGCAACACCCTGTATACCTCCCAATAATTTTAAAATGTTAACCTCAAACCTGTCCATAATTTTCTTAATACACTTTTTTAATATCTCTTTCAACAAGGAAGATATCGAACTTTTTCACAAGATTGGTCCACCCTGTATATAAAAGGCCATTAAAATAGAATATAAACAAAAGTGAAATAAATGGACGAAATTAACGATGAAAGGGGGAAGTTAAAGGTGAATTCAAAGTAAAGTAGAAGTAGAATACATTGCCTGAAATAGGAAAAGGTTTCGAGAACCAATTATCATCATGCAGAATTAGTTACACTCACTGTTGATGAAATGTGACCAAAAAGTGGCCAGGAAAAGTATTGGCTTTAAGCGCCTTTCTTAATCACTAAGTATTTTTCCGAATACACAGATTTGTTGCTAGGCAAAATCCGAAATCAGTTTCGTGAGAGTACTTTTCAAGTGTTCTTGAAGAGCTCTAGTAACAAAATGGGCGAAAATGGCTTCATCTAAATTCAAAGTCCAAAACTTTGTATCTCAAAGATTGTCTTTCTATAAAATCAGTAAAACCCTGCTGATGACTCTAGAATTGAATAATTCACTCCCTAGCTGGAGGTAGAATAAGAACCAAAGTTTAGTAGAAGAAGAACCAGTTGGAAAAGGTAAATAAAACAAATTGGTTTAATAAAAGTCAGAAATATATACTGTACTTAAATATTATAAAAGCTAATATTGTGCTGATAATGAATAAAAAGGGTATAAGCAAGGAAATTTTAGTATTATCTAGCTGATTTTTAAAAGTGATTATTCATTTTTAATACTAAACAAATAGTCATGATTTCGTTGCTGGACTAATTTAAAAAAAAGCTAAGTGAGTATTTCGATTCAATATTTAATAATATTATTACTAAAACTACTAGTATAGTTATATAAAAAGTTATTTTACTCTTCGAATGTCTTTTGAACAATGTAAAGTACAACTAATTTATGCTTTTGGAAATCTAAACCGAAATAAGGTACTCATAACTTGATTTTTGGTACTGTATAAAATATACTATAGATCTTAAATTAAAATATTTCAAAACTAACCAAATTTGTAACTTTTTTGATATGGATGTACTATGTTACGACCGTTTTATTTTTGGTAAATAATATATTTATACTTACGGTCTCCCCTGCGACTACAATTACCATTTTCGTTATTACTTGTTGGTTTAAATTCCTCAATATTAAATTCATCATTATTCTCATTGGTACTCTTGGTATTACTTTCGCTACTACTTTTGATATTACTGTCAGTACCACTGTCACTACTACTATCAAGATTACCTTCAGTAGTATACTCAATATCCTCAATATAAATATTTGTTATTTCCTCACTGCTATCTTCCATTTCTTCTTCAATATCTTTTTCTTGATTCTTTCCATAATCACTAAATTCGCAAACAAAATTTGACTTAGAGTAGCAGTCGACGCTGTTCCAGAACAGACCTTTATTTAAAACAAAGTATAATTGGATACAGAGGTTTGCCTTATTGTTTGGGGCACTCGAAGCCCAATTAGTATAGTTTATTTTTCTTTCATGTGCTATCCAGAACCATCCGTATGGACCCAAGCTGATACCGTCTGTCCAAAATGACATACCAGCGACTAAAAAAAAAAGACTTAGTGATAATCTATTAAGGAGTCTTTGAAATGTTTTGAGCTGAAACAAATAGTATTATATTTGAAATTTTAAATGGGAAGCGCTTTGTATATTTGCACTAAAAAGATTATTTTATGTAAAAGCCAACTGAAAACGTAACTAGTGAAAATTAATCAAAATAGTTTGTAATTGAATACATAAATGATAAAATATTTTTCTTCAAGATGACAACCCGGTATTAAGAAACTACAAGAGTTTTAAAAAAATTTCCATCAGAACGTGAAAAAGGATGCTTTGTGTAAAATATATGAAAAAATAAAAAATTATAATTTAACACTCAGTAGACAATTAAAAGACAGTTTTGTTATTAATCACTGATCCTAGTCTTCTTCAATTGTGTAATGAAAATACCTTCTGAAATTAGGCTTTATTAAACAGAACTTTAGTGACGGTTAATAATATGACAACTTTATAATAACGAATTAATAAACTATACAGGATGTACAAAACTTATATGAGAAACACGAACACGGTTTTTCATTACAAATTGGACACATTACGATAGAACTAAAATGAATTTGAGTTCAATATCAAAATAGTATATTATGCAACGATCATGTAATAACCATTACATGAGAGTTGCATACGCTATTTTTTCTACACCCGATAAATAATCAAGACCTATAAATATTATATTTATATTGGTATTGAACACAATAACAGTAATTACTCGTATTTCTATAAAAAATTCTACAAAATTGTAATTAATGGTATTACTTCAGGTATTGGTATTTCCCTAGATTTTTGCGGTAAAATATTTTGTACTGTATTTTCTGCTTTCTCCGATATGTGTGGAGGAGTCTTCTATATCGCTAATATCAGACATTTTAATATTATAATTATCGAAGTTTAGCTACCTACGAAAATTTAATACGTTTTGACAACTAAAATAATTACATAGGAACCTAGGACAAACGTCAAACAGCATGCTTGATTGAAAAATTGTAGGTTTCTATTGATTAAAAATCTGTATCGTAATGAAAAATCTGTATCATAATGGGTATCATTATGAAACGGATTATGGGCATATAAGTGCATTATTATAATACGGGTGTAGAAAAAGTCCATTTTAACATCATGTATTATCCAAACGCTGATGATAGGGTAACTTTTGATTAGGAGGTCGATATCTAACACATATCTGAATTTTAGAAGAGTCTCACAGAAAGCCATTTCACATAAGATTAGTGCGGGGTCATTTCACAGCCAACTTTAATTATATTTTTTTCTGGATGGCTAGTCTAGAGAAATCATAATAATTACTATATGTATATGAATCAAATGTAAATCGGCTTTTAAAAAAGAAGAAGAATTATTATAAACTTTGATATTCGAAATACAATATTTAGTGTTTTTAAAAAAGTAATTTTAAACAAAGAATAATATCCTATTTTTAATCATTTTACATTTTGTTATTTACTTACCTGCACTTCTTATTTTCTCATACAGATAATTATTTTCTTCTTCTGAATCAATAGATACCAGTTTCAGGCCTAGGCTTTTACAAAATGTAGTTGCTTGAAAATATGTCTAAAATACAAATATATTTATGAGGCAATTGATTGCGTTTACTGTAATATAGTAAATTGTCAGTCTTATCCAAAATTTTGGAAAAATTAATTTATTTACAGATGGTACAATATTTATCAGATCACAATTTATTTGCCGAAAATCAATCTCGGTTTGGAACTTCACATAGTACGGGAACTGCACTAACTAAAATGCTGGATGACATAATACAAGCAGTGGATAAGGAGAAAATTACTACATTAATTTTGATGGATTACAGTAAGGCATTTGATACCTTAGGCAGAGAATTACTTTTAGCCAAACTGAATTATTATGGTTATTCTGCAGGATTGTTAAAACTATTAAAGAGTTACCTATCGCATAGATGCCAATATGTGACTATAGACAATAATGAATCTAGCTCAAGAATGATTGATAAAGGTGTGCACCAGGGCTCAATTTTTGGACCTCTTCTTTATCTTATATATACAATGGATCTTAACAATAATGTTATGAACTGTACAATAGATCAATTTGCTGATGATACTCAAATTTACAAGAGTTTCTTAGTTAATGAACTGGGTAATGCTCGCTTAGAGGTAAATCAAATTCTGTCTAATATATTCGAATATTCAGTTAAACATGGGCTAAAAATAAATCCGGCAAAAACTCAAGTAATATGCTTTGGTAATTTTACCAAATTTATAAAAGATAATTTGAATATCTAAATTGATAATGTGGTAGTTAAGCAATGTGACTTAGTCAAAAGTTTGGGAATTTATATCGACACTAAATTGAGATTTAAGGAACAAGTTAGATCCATTGTCCAAAAATGTTATTGCTTTTTAAATAATCTATATCGAAGTAGATCTTTTTTGAATGCATCTCTAAAAATACAACTCTGTGAGACGTTAATATTAAGTTATACGAATTATGTTGATTTTGTTTATAGTCCATGTTTAGATGTAGACTCGTTGGCGAGGCTACAGAGAATTCAAAACTCGTTCGTTAGGCTCATTTTTACATTAACATTTAGAGATCATGTTTTAAACAAATTAAAAGAATTGGGGTGGCTTAATATGTTTAATAGACGAAGACTTCATATGGCTTTCTTTGTACACAAATTGCTAAGAAATAATAATCCAGCATACCTTAGGAAAGAATTGACACTTAGTTTGAATGTTCATAACCGAAATACTAGAAATACTAGCCTTCTTGTTATACCTAAACATAGAACAACTCTCTACAAGAGATCTTTCTCATAAAATGCAGTCACTATATATAACTCTCTACCTGATCAATGTAAAAATAAATCTCTAGAAATCTTTAAAAATTACTGAAAAAAATTCTGTTGTTTTAAAGTTTGTGTTTATGTATTGTTAATTTTCTTATTGCATGTGTCTATATAAGATGTATATTAAATAATTTAAATCTAAATAAGTATATTTGTATTATATGAAATGTTTTTATTTGGTACTCGGTTGAGTGGAACAGCTATGCTGGACTCCGCCGAGGCTTATTAATATAAAGACGTTTATTAATATTATTATTAATAATTAATATTTTTAAGATAACTAACTTACTAGAGTGGTACGTCCTAAATAGTACGATTTATTTTGGTGAGTAAAATAATTGCCAAAATTAGGAGCAACTGCATAACTATTCCAGTCTGAAAAAAAAATAAATATATTAAAATTACGAGTAAAAATGTTTTCTATTATTTATTTTCAGCAATAACTATAATTAAAGAATGGGTCAAAGTTCAGATGTGGTTAGTTTGGGTAAAAATAAGTTCATTTAAGCCATTTTGCCTTAGTAGAATTTTGATTGCTTAAGAAGTTATAGGGTGGAGAAAATAATTATATTTTCAATATTTTTACGATAATTCAAATAATTTTTGAGTATATAAACTCAAATTTTGTGAAAGTAAGTTTTTTTGGCTGATATAAACGAATACCAGCTTTTTTGTAGCATTACATATACAGGGCATTCTAAACTGGCATGCCCATCTAGTATTTACTTAAAACAATTTTTAATAATGGACATTTTTGAAAAATAATTAAAAAAAGGTATACTTGTTGCATATAGCTAAAATGCATCATTATTTAAAATATATAAAAATCATGGTTGGGCATTAGGTTTTGCAGAAATTTATAAATTTGATTTATACCTTAAAAAATGGACCTAGTAGAAAATGCTGGATCAATAAATGTGTTACGTTTCTACGTTTTATTTATATTTTTTCTAAAATCTGCGGTTTGAAAAGAGATATCCAAATGCGGTTTTCGCCAAAGTATTGGGTCTTTTTTCTCTATCTAACTAAGTAAAAAGGTATATATCGTTGTATTTAAATTTTTCGAAAAATTTCGTAAAATTTGTCAGTTTTTAACCTAACGCCCTCTAGCGGCTTTCATAAAACGTAAGCAGCCACAGTTTATAAAGCAAAAATAGAGGCTGAAAAAGCTCTTCTAAACGAAACTAAGTTCACTAAATTCGGTAAAGCCAAACCGGAGTTATGAGCATTTTTCCAAATTAAAGTTTAACCTTCCCCCACCACTCTATTTCACAACAAAAATTGCATCCAAAGCTTTTTTGTTCAGAAAACATTGAAAATTAAAATGGTACTATTTATCAATATACTTTACTCGATATTTTTTGAGAAAATTACATTTTTATGTTTTGACGTCACAATTACGTCCCCTAGCGGCCATCCTACAAACTTGAAAATAATTTCTAGCAATTTCTCTTGCCCGTTTTTATTAAAAATATTTTTTCCCCAAAGCTGTACTATTATTAGTTTCTGAAATATCTCTTAATGGAACACCCGGTACTTTCATGCCATATATAATAGTATATTGTTTCACGAGTGACGAAAAAAAGATTTTCGACGAGTAAAACACTATACTTTTTCTACGAACTCTATTATGTCATGTAGGTACCTACTAAAATGAAAAAAAACAAACGTTAGCAAATGCTTTATTTTGTGTTAGGAATAACAAAAAATTAATCAACAATTAAATATTTCAGAAATATTATTTATTATTTAAACATTGATTTATTGTTATATTTGAACAATTGTTCAAAATTATGGGGGTATCACACTCAAGCTTTTTATTTATTGAGGTAGATGCCGACATATTTGTTCTACTGTTAAATGTCATTTCAGATGATGATGCGCCATAATCGGATGAACTAGTAGTTTCCTTATTTTGTACAGATTGTAAAATTTTGGTTTGTATTTGGTTTTTACTGTTCGTGGATTCATCAACATATCCTTCCGCAACACTACTAGATTTCCAACCACCGTGCTTTTTTAACAGAAGCAAGTCACCTCCTGCATCCGCTAATAGCATTGCGGATGTTCTGCGGAAACAGTGCCCAGTGTAATCTTGAGGATTCGGAAGCGTTAAAAACTGAGCAATTTCGTTAGGAAATTTACTGATTTTATTAATTCCAACAACCTGTCTGCTACACTTTCCATTCTGATAGTTAATAAAGAATCTTGAATTAATTTGATCCATGTTTACGGGACGTAGGCTCATATATTTTTTTAGAAATATCATAAAAGGGTCCAGAAATATGAAAAGAACGCGGAACTTTTGTTTTTGTATTACGGATTTTAACTAACAGAATACTTCCAGTATCTTTTACATCGCTTATTGTTAAATCTTTTAGTTCGTGGCAACGACAAGCGCCAGATAATCCAAAAACTAATGCTACCTACAAATATTAGTAGTTATGTATTAAGTATTTGTTAAAATAAAAATAATAATTCCGTTACCTTTGTTATTAAATATTTATAGGCAGGTGCATTCTTTAGAAAAGTCTTTATGTCTTCAGGCGAAAAAATTTTGGATTTTTGGCTTTTAAAACCATCAGATTTTCTTTTCAAAAGCGAACGTAACTTTGGATATTTACTAATATCGACATCATTTTTAACAGAGAGTGTAGTTCTTAGCATCGAATAAATGGACCATAACGTCGACGGTTTAAAATTTGAACATATTTCTCCAAAGTATGCTAGTAGTACAGTTTCCGAAAATGATTTCACTTTATTTTTTTTCTCCAGTCCAAAAATTTGATATAAATTTCTTCATATCTCTTTTTTGATTTGGCCGGTAATAAATCTGAAGAGGTTTCTTCAGCTTTAAAAATAATTTCTGGGGGAGTACAATCGCTTTCTGACTCAGACATCATGAAAATGTGATAAATTTAGGACGAACTGAAACTGACCAGAAACTGACAGTTCTCAAAAGTGATAAAACTTCAAATAAACAAATGAAAACCAGGAAACTAGATGTAGATTGCTTTAATTTGCACTATTTTTATACATTTTTATTTTATCTTTAATTCGTTAAAGTTTATGTATAGAATTTAATGAGCATCTTTTTATTTCATTATTAATAATTATAAGCTGCCAAAATATTATACGAGGCGACTGATATATGAAAATATGTAACAACTTACTTTCGTCACTAGAGACGAAAGTAAACGTTATGGGATTTTTTCTCACTAGTGACGGAAATCAAGTTTTCGCTGAAAGTATCCTGTGGCGAAAGATGTCTTTTTGTAAGAGTTACGCAGGCGATTTATTGTTAATTTACTCATAAGTACCTCAAAGGAGGAATCAGTGCATTTTTAAAGAAATATAACTTACCTTTTGGTGGATTTGGAGACTGGCAGATGAAATCAAGTTCCTCGTTACAATTATTATTTATCCATTCCAAGGATGAGTCCACTATTTTCACAGTAAGACACGCTTTATCTTCGGAATGATTTATATTTTGGTTGATCCAATCATAGAGTAAAACTGGCTGGGCAGTTGATAGCCAAATCCAGTGACTATTATCAACTAACATAGTACCAGATAACCAGAGGGGGTTTGAATAATTTGAACCTTAACAAATTAAATAATTTTAAGATCGTGATAAAACTTATATAATTTAATGATTGTCCCATGTTCAACTGGAAATAATTCTATTAATATTAATATTCTATTCGATTTTTATGAATGTAATGTGTTTATATTTGCACCGTCTCTAATTATCTATTGGTGGGTGCGAAATAATTTTAAAATAAAAAAATACGGTAAAATTTAGCTTTGACTAAAGATATATTTATCTGCTATCTGAGTTGTTATCGTTAAATCTAAATGATCCAAAATTCTTTTACTGATTAAGGGCTGTTAACGACTGTATCTCGGAATATTTAGAAATAAAGAAAAAAACAGAGAAACAAGTCGCTAACCAATACAATTTAAATAGGGAAAATGCCAAGAAGGATGATGCCTACATCACTGAGAAGGTAATATAACTAATTATTGCGTTAACTTTTGATTTGAGTGTGTTCTAGCTGGACAAAAAAACTGTTACGTATTGTATAATTGAATAAAAAATAAACTTAAATAATTGAGTGTAATCTATTTTTGGATGATCCCTTAACCCGAGATGATTTCTGGGAAACCAAAACATCGTAAACCGGGCGGTCGACAGAAAAGGGTCGTGCAATCATATTCAAAGGTTCAATCAGTGGGTCAACTGTTTGGATGGGGAGATTATCGAACACCGTTGAGGAATGCAGTCGATTTCTTTGTTAAGACTGTGTTATTCCATTTGTTTTAATATTTATCATTTTTGTAACGTTATTTTAATACTAATAAACTTCATACGTAAAATAAACATTTAATTATTTGTGTAGTTTACATGAGAAACGTTAAGAAATACCAACTTTTTCGGAATCAACCAATATAACAAATTTATGCTACGAACTAAATTATTCATAAAAATAAGTAATAGGGGGCAGTAAAATCTAAAGTAAAATAAGGAACAACAATTATATTGTTATATTCCCCATAAAAGTTCCTTTTCAATTCACTTGGTATATTCCCTATTTAAATTATCGAATAGGAATAGAGGACGATATATTGTCTAGTTAACTTAATTTAGAAAAAAACTATTCCTGAATTGACTATTGTTGTTCTATGGATTTCAGTTATTTCATTATTTATTTTACCCATTGTCTTTATTATAGTGTCCGTCAAGAAATCATTGATTTCATTTGATTGAATGGTGGCCAGTTGCATGCCCATCTCATCACAAATAAGAAAAGCTTGGATAAAGTCGACCTAAAACATTTTTAAATTTACAGTGAACATTTAAATATATTTACATAAAAAAAAAAAAAAAAACAAATTGTATAATACTATGAAACAGTAAGAAATACTAATTTAAATTTAATCGTGGATTGTGCAATTCTTTGTATCAAAAAAATTAAGTTTACAATACCAAAAAAGCCATAAAGTTTAAATAAAAAAATGCATTTAAAATAGTTATAACGTATCTATAGAGGATATTCCGTTTCTGATTTTCATCTGTATTAAATGCCTCCAAAATTTGGTCGTGATTTAAATACTTGAAAAATTTTAAACCAAAAATAATTTTCAATCCTAAAATTTGTATTTTCTTCTTTCAAATTTGTAAGTTAGAGCCATTTATTACTTTACTTTCAAATTAATTCTGAACCATTTATTTGTGTCAAAAATTATTAATTTTCGGCAATTACAGCATCTTTTATAATTTTCAAAAAATTATATTTCAACATTTTTTTTTATTTTGTTAGAAAATTCAAATTCTGAGAAAATAAAATATCTAGCAATGATTTTTGAAGTTTAATTCTTTTCAGTTTCCGAGAACAACAATCAACGAACTTTAATTTTCAAAATACCATAATGAAAATACGAGAATCCCTAAATAACATTATTTTAAATAGAATACCCAAATTTGAGCTTTTAAAGACTTAATAATTTTTTTAAATCTGTCAAAACTGGTGGCTAAAACATCACGTTAAGTGCTGCCTATAAAATTTTCAGACCTTCTCTGCCTGTATCGGAGTGAACAACTCTAGGCGATCATACATGCATTAGAAGAAGCGATATAGCATCGATGCTTCCAATTCACGAATCAGTTGATTAAAAAGAAACACGTTAATTATTCAGTTTGTTGGAATCGGTTCATTAAGAGGATTTCAAAAATATGCAAATATACAGGGTGTTTCATTAAAAAAAAACACCGACTATGGCATACTTGCGTGAATCACCCTGTACATTTAAATTTATGTTTACATAACGCACAACTCAATTCAAAAGTTGACGTGTCTCGGCATTTTTTACAATTTTCTAAAATAATGACAAAGAATTTTATTCCATAAGTGGTTTCCACACTGTATATACACACTTGAGTACTCAATTCCTCAATTCAACCCAATCATTTAATAAACTAATTACACAAATATTAACTTCATTTTTATTTTACAATTGTAAATATTTTAAAATTCCAATATTAAACTGTGTGATACTTTTTTTGCAAAAGAATTTTTTTAATAATTAATACGAGTACAAAAAATATAGTTTTAATAGAACATGTTAATATTTACCTTTATATATCCAATGTAATAATTTGTAGCTTGAAAAGAACTCCGATGAGCATTACATTCTTGTCCTACAAAAATAAGTTTTTAATTAATATATGTATAGACAAAAGTGTTCGTACTTTTTTAAAACAATGTACCAGGCGTCCAAATAAGAAAAAACACCACAGAAACTGCGCGACTTAGTATTTTTGAAAAATAATTTTAAATATAAAAGTGGTCAAGAGGAATCGGTAAAAATTATTTTCAAGTTTCTAACTTTGATTACTATATTAAGTAATGCTTATATCCAATATAAAAAAAATAGATAGACGGATAACTAGTCAAAGTTTATTAAAATTTCCCACTGATTACGCTTTTCATTTTTTTAATATGACCTAATTTGGCATTATAAAAAATAACAATAGATTTTATCCCCACTCGACCATTCACTGTTGGGTTCTAATTAACAGTGCTGTTCCTAAAGTGGCGCTGGGAAACAGAAATAAAGCCTACACAGAACACGAGGCGAAATAACCTTAGCAGTTAAAGCCGATGACACAAAAAAGAAAACAATAGATTTTAACTACCGGCAAAGTTAGGTACCACTTTTGTTAAAAAAATATCCGATATGTATGTTTCTTATTTGGAGACATAAAAGTAAATAAAAAAAACTGAAAAACTTTTTATCAATTTTCTTTAATTTTTGTACCAATGCGAACAAAATAATTTTATGATTTTTTCCGAAAATAATAGTATTATTATGTTAGTCATTAAATCATTAAGAAGCAACAATAATTTACCTTCACAAAGTAACGATTCTGCTTCTTTTTCTTCTTCTTTTTCTTCTTCTTTTTCATCATCATCATCCCCATCATCCTTATCATCATCATTATCATCATTATTATTTGCATTAACGTCCTTCTCTTCTCCTTCATTTTCCCCTTCATCTTCATCATCATTATTCGCATTAACTTCCTTCTCTTTTTCTTCATTTTCCCCTTCATTTTCATCTTCATTACTATCTTCATCTTCATCTTCATTGCTATCTTCATCTTCATCATCATCTTCATCTTCATAAGATTTATCAGAATATTCACATATAAAATTATGATGAGAGGAACAATCGCTAGCTCTCCAAACTAGATTTTCTTCTGGAGTAAATTGCAAGTTGATGCACTGTCCTAACGCATTCTCAGGATCTCCTTCTATCCAATTATTATAGTTTACTTTTTCGCTAGATGGCGGCCAGAACCACTCACTGCTATCACCGAAACAAATACCACCGCTCCAAAAAGAACTATTATAAAGAGCTACAAAAAAGGGCATGTTACTAAAAATGTGAAAAATAGACTTAAACATAAAGTGGTAGATTTATCCAAATTCGTCGAAAGTACTAGTGATTAAATTTATCACTTGTTTCTTTTACAAGCTTGGCATTAATCTCATGATTTTTGTAATTGAGGAGAATGTACAAATGATGAGCAGGGAGCTGGAAATCTTTTAAACCTTATTAAAACATTTATTGGCAAAACAGGTAAAGACTATAATATTCTCAGTTACATTTAAAAATAAATCGTTAAAGTAATTTGAGGTTAGAAATTCAAAACAGTTTTTCATGAAAAACATTTCTTTTGCTTTTTTTAATGCACGATCACTGTGTAATAAATTTGATGAATTTAAAAGTTTTATTTTGCGGGAAAATTATGATGTCGTAGGAGTTGGAGAAACCTGGTTTAATCCAAATATTCTAGACCAGCTGTATTCAACCTTCTTTTTCGTTCGGGCCACATAAATTTGTTTGTTTTACACGGGCCACAATATTTTTGGGCGATAACTAGAGTTGCCATCTTTTTGAAATGTAAATAAAGGACAATGGGTGACGGTAGGAATCCGCTTTAAGTCCTCATGTTGTTTTAGTTGTTTTAATAAACTTTGAAAAGTCGCAAGGACAATTTATTTCAAAAAAGGACCGTAGGTCTACCATTTCAATTCCTAATAATAGTGTTTGGGGTTGCACAAAAAAGCTTGGAGGGCCGCACAAAAAAGCTTGGAGGGTTGCATGCGGCCCGCGGGACGCAGGTTGAGTATGGCTGTTCTAGACCATACTATACCTAGGGTGTTTCATTTTTGAGCAAACATTTTTTTTTCAACTAAAAAACAGGCTCAAAACTTTCAGGAAGGTGAAAAAAGAAGCCTCTAAAAATTTGAGCTCTTAATATTATCATTTAGTGGGGCCTGTTCCTAACTTTCCATTTTCTATCTAAATAACATGAAAAAAAAAATTTCTTTTTTCTTATTTTTGTAACTTGACATTTAAGCAATGTAAAAACAAAGTGAAAAATTATTTTGGTAGGAAATTGAACGCTCTACAAAAAGTTCTAATTTATTTTTTCATAGAGTGAGCCGTTCTGAACATATTCAAACTTAAAGTTGCAAATGTATGAAATTAGGACTTTTATTTTATTATGACTGATGACTTTTTTTATGTCTTAAAAATTATTTTTAATCTGAAAACTGGTTTTTGTGCCCTAATATTTTTAGAAAGCTAAAATAAAAAAAAATACATCGTAGATATTATTTGATTAACTGTTTAACAAAAGTAATTATGAATTAGGTTCAGTAAAATTATTATTTTATAGATTAAAAAGAACTTTTTAACAATTAGACTAAAATTTTGAAACTAATAGATATTTTAATGTCTTATCAGAATTAAATGATATAACTATATTTGTTGAAGTTTTTTTATTACAATTTGGATATTTTCGTCGGTGCTCCTTTACCACTTGTAATATTAAAATTGTTCATCTTTATTTAGGCATCTATTATATTCTTCTACTAATGCGACGCCATGTCCTGCAACGTCATTGACAACTTTCAATTTTTCGAAAAACTCCAAATTCTCTTGATAACTTTCATTATCTGGCCAAATTAAGACATCTGCATCCAAAAAGTCGTACGGCAAATCAAATTTGTCAAAAAGTTTTAATGATTGTTTTGAAACAAAGGCACTCCTATTTTTGTTTAAAAATATTTCTGGTGAATTTTTGTCTTCTGTGCGTCGTTATTTTCTTTCTATATGAAAATAATGATGTTTTCTTGAAAATAATTTTTAAGACATAAAAAAGTCATCAGTTTAATAAAATAAAAGTCCTAATTTCATACATTTTCAACTTTAAGTTTGAATATCTTTAGAACGGCTCACGCTATGAAAAAAATATATTAGAACTTTTTGTAGAGCGTTCAATTTCCTACCAAAATAATGTTTCACTTTATTTTTACAATGCTTAAATATCAAGCTACAAAAATAATAAAAAAGAAAAAAAAATTTCCATGTTATTTAGATGGAAAATGGAAAGTTAAGAACAGGCACCACTAAATGATAATATTAAGAGCTCAAATTTTTAAAGGCTTCTTTTTTCACCTTCCTGAAAGTTTTTAAGCCTGTTTTTTAGTTGAAAAAAAAAGTTGCTTAAAAATGATACACCCTACATACAGGGATACAATTTTGTAAGGAATAATAGAGTATTCAGAGGTGGAGGTACTGCTATCTACCTTAGAGCTAATATTATGCACACTGTTTTATATTTGTTGAACAATCTATACCGACCTCTAGATAAAAGTGTAAGTAGTTTTTTAATAGATTTTGAGGAAATGTTAGTCGATATTTACACACAATTTAATGAAATTATTTGTGGTGGTGATGTAAACATTGATTGGTAGCCTTATTAATTGACTTGTTAACACTGAGCATTTTTGAGTCAATTTTACGACCTTTGCGGCTATCTAGGAACTTCTTTTTTATTTCCTGATTTTGTAACTATAATTGGTCCTTTTTTTGGTTTTAGGGTCAGCCAAACTTTTGCTGCCAAAGGTGCTCTAAACGCAAAGGGCGAGGGGGGGGGCGTCGTCACCATGGCCCACTATACGCTACGCCACTGCTCATAAGACTTGATTCACAAAAAAAAACAATTTTCTCTACGTACAATTTTTACGTACCTTTATTTTTTATTTTATGACTAATGAATTCATTTTCTTCTTCTGTTTCAATAGATACAAGTGCCATTCCTAACGTTCTACATAATATGTTAGCATGAAAGAAAGACTGAAATCAAAATATAAAAGTTTAAGGGCCGATCTTTTCACCTCTGAGTAAAGTTACATGTTACAAATATATAAATTTTACTAATTAAATATATATTGAAAAAATAAGGTATATTTCTTTTGGACTGTACTGTCAAATTTAGAACTATCACACTATTGGGAAAATTAAATTGTATCCAAAATAAATGAAATTGATTTTTAGAAAGTTCTGAAAAATTTGTTAAAAAAATTAATTTACCAATTTTATGTGAAGTCCCATAAAGTAAGTGCTGTGTTCAAAAATATTTGTTGGGAAGTTTGGGTGAAGTAATAGTTTATCACTCCATTTGCCTAAAAAATATTATTCTTATTACTAAATTAGAAACAACTTTCGATCCATATAGCTGACAAATCTCAAAAATAAACATTCTCAAAAGGCTGTTACTTATATTTATCAAACACCTGCTATGCCAAAAAAATGTTTAGATACATGTATACAACTTTTTTATTACCGTAAAGTAGGATTACTTTACACAATATCGTGTTCAAGAATAAGACATGTGTCACCGATATTAGGAAAACAAAAATTGTTTTGTGAGTTTAGTCTTAAAAACTTTACATTACAGCAGTCTTTTTCTTTATCAATAACTTGTGCAACAAAATGCCTTTATTGTTTTTTCCCTAAAAGTGCTACAAGTAGAAAATCGGAATTTTTAACTCTAATTTTAATTCATCTTCAGTCTTGCTTACAATATCACGGGAGCAATGGGCTTGAGGCTCGTTATTGCGGTCATCAGTCTTTTGGAAATCCCCGACTTCATCTAATTCTAAATTGTCCTTGGATTCACTTTCAATGGTCCAGTCATATTCTTCAGTTTTTTTTATTTACTTTATCACGTTTCGTTTCTTTGGGAATACTTGTCATGAAATCCTCACTTGCAAAAGATTTGTAAGGTTCAATTCTTATCATCCTCTTTCTCTTTGAAGTGTTTGCTTTTGAAGGGGCTCTACCTTCCTTAAGGAAATCCAACAAGGTCTCGTTAATAACAGTGTTGGTTCTATCAAATCTTTTATTAGGCATTTTATTAAGAACCTCCCATCTGTTACATGGGTATATTCCCGTTGCTCTAAATTCATTTTGAATGATCTGTTCGTCTTTTAATTTAATTTCTTCAATGAGCTTTTTCAATAAATGAGGAAAAGAGCTTTTGTTTACTGTACTGTTTCATGGATTTTTGGTTTTATAGGTCGCCAAACTAGCTTCAAGGGCTTAAAGAAGTTTACATCCAAAGGTTGTGCCAAATGTGTTGAATTTGAGGGTAGAAAGATAAATCTAATATTGTTTCTTTGACACTCTCTAATGATTTTTATGTTTAAATGACTCGATAGATTACCTCCGATTAGAAGTTTCGGCACATGAATTTTTTTGGCCCACGGTATAACCATTTGTGTAAACCAGTCTTCAAATGCATACTGATCAAATCACCCAGATTTGGTTTTATTATAACGAGTTCCAGGAGGTGCCCCAATACACCAGGAATCAAATAATCTCTCCGCCTTATACACAACATATGGGGCAAACAAAGTTTCATCTGCAGCGGCAGCAAACATGATGGATATTAAGGACTTTGTTAAGTTCATAATGCGTTCAAGGTATTTAATCCCTTTTCTAAAAATACATTTTGACGATCCAGGATCGTCTGTGAGATTGGTCTCGTCGTAGTTAATGATAGAACCAGGTGGGATTCCTGTCAAATTTCTTTCTAAATTATCAAAGTAATTGTTCATGTCCTCATCTGTTTTCTCAGCTCTTGTTTTTTTAATATTTTGGCACTGTCTGGTGGATAATTCATGTTTGTGTCTATGAATAAAATGTCTTTCAACTTCTTTAGGAGGACACCTTCTTTGTCTAAATGATTCTTTAACACTACTCGCAATTCTGTCATGGTTAGGGGCAGCCATTATAAGCCTATTATAAGGTCGACAATGGACCTATCAATATCTGGGGCGATTAGCTGAGGTGCTCCAACAGGACCTACATATTTTTTTTTAGCTTTATTTACTAGGATTATTCTATGAATATTAAAAGTTTTGGATGCTTTGGTATATCCCAGCTCTACGCCGTGCACCGACTAGTCATTTATACGTTCGAAGCATTTTCTAAAAAACAAACAAACAATGTGGGGCAACTTTGCCAACCGTAAAAATTATTGGAAACTTAGCATCTGGAAAACTGTTAATATCAGAAATAGAACTTACATATGCACAGGAATAGGTGATGTTAAAACTAGAATTCAAGATTCATTAGTTTTTATTACACAACCCTTAGCATAGCAACATGATTTTTCGAGGTCAAAATAAAATTTTTACTTACGTGATTTTCAAATATGGCTTCACCGAGCTCCGGACTCATACTGCCTAAAACCTGTTGATCGCATAGTATTCTGCCACCAACTGCATTAGAGCAGCGTTGCCAGATTTACAGAAAATAATTTTATAGTAACCCCACTTTACGGTACCTACTTTAAAAATATTGAAAATGTCTACTTACTTAACCGTCTATCATCTGATTCACAAATGAAAAGATATTTTCTTGAGCAGTCGCTGTATGTCCATAAGATTTCTGTGGCTGATTTTTGAAAACTTAGGCATTTATTTAGCTCACGATTGCTGAAATTTTCATTCATTTTTCCTATATAAAAAATCGGTTGACGAACTGCGAGCCAAATCCAATGTTTGTCATCAAGCAATTTGTTGCCGGAAGTCCAAATTTGTGTGCCATCATGGAAACCTTTTTTAATAAAATTTTATAATTAACTAACAAGTCAGATTTTGTCTTTTTTTTGTGTAATAATAATAAAAAAGTATATTTTTTCTTTTCTTCTCGGTTATTAAAATTTTTCTTTGGTTTGTTTTTATCTTGGTGTTGTGGGGATAGATTCCTTAATTTCGCAAGAAAAGTGGGATATCAATATATTTGTCAAGTGTTAAACAATTAGTCGCCGTATTTATTAAAGATGTATGTGGGATAGATTTTGAGTTATATTTCGTCGTATTGGTGGTTAATTGGAGAAAATGGGTAAATAAGTTTGTAACTCGTAAGATAAAACAACTTTGGATTTAATTATTAAGTTGAATTGCCTAATTGAAAAGTATTGATCCTGTCTTTATTTAAAAGTAGTATACTAACCTTCTTTTTCTAACGTTTCTGATAAAAAATCTTCTTGATCTTTGGACAGAATAGTAAGAGGACGCATTCCTCTCTCTGAACATAACTCGATGGTTTGAAAATAATCTGCCTAAAATCATAATAATATTTCGTAACTCGTAATACAAATAATATAAGTTTTTTGTAACTCAGGGACTAAAACATGTATTTTACTCTCTCATTTTAGGGACTGAAGTGCCACTTTTACTCCTTTGGGACTAAACTATTTTAGTCGCAAGGGATTAAAAAATTTTAGTTCCGCAAATAAAACCAATAGAAACCATAGGAAATTACTTTATTCGGGAGATAATACAGTGAATAATAAGTGAATAATATATTTTGCCGAAAATAGTTTTGTTTGAAACATTGCATATATATTTTTATTTATTAATAGTATGTACAATTAATAAAAATAATTGATTACTAGAAAACGTCAAAATAATAAACTTCAATTTGACATTTGAAATTTATTCGCAAAGGAAGGAAGACAAGTTTATTAAAGAAAAAATGTTAACAGATAAGAAAAATAACACTGTACAACAGCATTTTTGATAATTGAGTTATATTACATGACACTAGCTTAATTTTTAATGAAGACTTCAAATCTGTAATCTAAATTTCTGTATTAGCTCTAGTTTAGAAAATATGACACATGGCCATTTCATACTAAAATACAATTTGTTTAAAGTTAATCATATTTTATTTAGTTCTTAAGGTGAAAAAAACTTTCTTTTATAAGATTTTCTTGCAGAGGTTGAACCCATAGAACTGTTCTGAATGCTCCAACAATAGTCAGCTATCATGTGTGCGTTCCAGTAGCCTTGATACCGTTCCTCCATCGTACGAAGGTCTTGCTGGAATAGCTCGCCTTGTTCTTCACTTAGATCCTTAGGATTAGCAGGAAAATAATCTAGGTGAATATGAAGAAAGTGCAACTTGATGCTCATGTTACATCCAAAGGTTTGAAAGTGACTCATTAGTTGTTCAACGAGTTGGAAATAGAACTTTTCTTTTTTCCCATAAAATTTTGAACATGCCAAACAAACTTATTCCATGCGTTTTTTAATTTCTGTCAGTGTCCGTAAATTTTGTGTCTTTTATTAATGATCTTATCTGTGGCCCATCGAAAATGCCCGCTTTTATCTTTTTTACACTCAGTTTCGGGAATTTTTTTGATAGAAATAGAAAAAAATTTCCAGTTTTGTTAAGACCTTTGACAAACTGTTTTATAAGTCCTAATTATAATGCAACGAAGGCAGAATTATATGATCTCATGACACTAAAGGTGAGTTTATCACGTTTTGTTGTCCTGGAACTAGATCTTTCCGAGTAGGCCAATCCTTTTTAACCCAATGTTGATTTTTAGCTCTACTATCCCACAAGCAAAGAAAACAAAGATAGGTTGTGTAACCACCTTGCTAGCCTAACGGAAAGTTGATCATTTTTAAACGTAGGAACTTAGCGCATATTTTGCATACCTTTTGCGAAATCCAAGGCATATTCTTCATTTCCAGCGGGTGCCCTAAGTAATTTTTGTAAGCCTCACTTACGAACGTTGTCACATTTAAACGGTATTCTTTAAATACATACTTTCCGCAATTGAAACAAAAATTGTTTGAATCATTTACACATACTCTTCTTGACGATGCCATATCAAATTTCAAAATAAAACAATAATTCAAACAAGAAAGATAATTTCACTATTGTCTCACTAAACCTTCCCCTAAAATAACAACAGAACATTTCTTAAGAATTATGAATTTTGGTTTTAAAGAGAGGTACTTTTATCTTGATGGTATTTCCAAATAAAATTAAATATGTACAATAATTCAATAATTATTATTAAATAAACTGCAAATAAACACTATAATACAGCGAATTTTAAGTGAAAGCTATAATTCGTAAACAAGAGCTGCTAGAAAAAAAGTGGGGTATATTTAGAATCATGTGACATAAGTCATTCATCAGTAAAAACGTGTAATTTTGTTGGCCAGTAGGTATAATCAATGAAATTAATTTTGTTATTTTTAAATTATAAATAAGGACCTATATTGAAATATATTTTATCCTGAAAATAATATTTACCTAAAACTATTTGCAAATGGCCCACTCCAAAGAGTGTTTAATCTAATGATGTATGTCCTGACGTTTTAGGTTTTTTTAAATGTTTAACTTTATTTAATGTTTTTTGGCTGAGGTAAGTACACTATCTTATTTTTATTTATATTACGGTCTTCACACCTTTTAGGAAGACTTGATGATAGGTCTGTAAGCCAAAAATATTTTTACTTCCTGAGGTACTAGTCTCATTTTTTAATTCAAAAAATATATTGACTATTTACAGTTTAAAAAATTATTTACTTACATGATAGTTAAAAATAACATACGTTTTGTCTTCATGTTCCCAGCTTTTGTCTAAAAACAAAAAAAAGATTATAAGCATCAATAATTATTATTGCAGTTGATTTTTAGTACTTAATATCTTAAATGATAATGTAATAAAATATTTTTCCTTCGAATAACAAATGTCACTTTTAGTGACATTTCAAGAACATAGAAGTAATACTTTTACTGCCTAGATATTAAAAATCGTTTATACAGCCTATCAATTAAAAACTTTCTTTTTCTTCTTTTCTCTCTTGCTTTGCGTGAGCATCTGACCAAAACAGTTACTCTAATAAATTAACTATAAAGTATATTCATATAATAATTGAAGGTATATAAATAAAAAAACAACTATTAGAATAAATATTAAAAATGCGTGAGTTATATCCGTTATACTTCTTAGAGGAGATTTTCTTTAATATTTAATTTTTTTAAATACACTGTATAATCAATCGGGGCAAAATTATATGTTTTACACGACAGGGAAACAGATTTACTGCCTTGGCTAGTTTCAATTCAATTTGTTATTGCGTAATAATATTCGTATGTTCCTTAAAAACCATAAATCTAATTAAACCTGAGATACGAATTAAAGTAACTCTTCTGTGAAAGAAAATATTTGTGAATTATATTAATTTTAATATATTTAACTGTTTGTAAAAGACATACCTTTACTTGTTACGTCATGTATATGGAAATTTATCAATAAAGAGACCCACAAAATTAACATTCTGATACTCTGGTAACCATAACCATGAATACTGTTTAAATGACGTTGTTAATTTTTACAAGTCGATAAAAATACACTGATAAAAATATTGGAAAATATTTTGGTATAAGATTATACAGAATTTAAAACCATTGTAAACTGAAGAAAATCAGACTTTTCAAGTTTAGGACCATTAGACAATAATTATTTGCTAATGTATGTAAACTATTAATTGTATCTAAATAATAACATTTAAAACAAAAAAAGTAAAATGATTAAAACATTAACTTTTTATTAAATTGATAAGAGGAGTATGAAGCCTATAAAAACTGATTTACACGTTGTCAATCGTGGTTTTAGTCGAGCTTGCCAGTCACTGGATGCCAGCAATTAGTTGGCAAGCTCCAGTATTACAATAATTTTTAAATGACAATAAATACTTAAAATCAGTCAATTGTATATTATTTGGAATAAATAATGTTTCTTATTTAAACGTAATTGCAGGAATTTTACCAGTTATTAAACAGTTAAATAATTTATCTCTGTACTGTTTTCATTATAACTGTCACCTGCTTTTTAGTTAATGTTCGACTTTTTGCAATATCTTTTATTATGTGATCTACCTTTTTAGTTAAATATTTAATTTGTTTACTTAATCTTTCAGATATAAAATAGCTTTGAGTTGAGAACCAGTATCCAAAAGAACGCGACAGTAAATAAATCTCTTTGCAGTGTTTTCAGATGCACTTAATTATCCGACAGATGGGATATTGTGAGAACAAATATAAATTAGAGATAGTAGCACAAACCTTAAAAAATTAGGCAGAAAGTGTTACAAATTTATAATCCAGAAACCACAACATAAAACATTAGTTCAGAAAAAAAGAAATACCTCTCGGTTATATATAATTTACCACAAGTTACAAAATTAATAACAAATTAAGTAGATAAATAAAAGTGACTTTTCTAACGAGTTAATTAATGGAACGATGTGGCGCAATTTGAGGAATAATAAAAAGAGGGATATAATGTTAAAAAGAAAAGAAGAAAGGAAATGAGTGAGGACAAATCAACGTAGTAAAATTCTCAATGAGTATCCAGCTAGCTAAAGATTTCCTGGCTTCTGGAGTGAGTAGATGAATGTTCTTTTTATCGGTTAGCATGAAAGAAATTATCTTGTGCTGAAGAAGATTATGTTGACGTACGTCAAATAATTCTGCACTTGTTGATGGAGGTTTGAAGTCCAACTATAGGCGAGAGGAATAGATGATAACTTACTTAGGGATATAATTATCCTATTCACGACTTACTTTTGTAGATAATGTTTCTAAGTTTGTGAAGGCTGTTATTACCAGCAAGTAATCGGATAACTGCGAGATATTAGATACATTTTTACTATGACAATGATACTTTTTTTGGTGTACTTCTGTACTAATTAACATAAATCATTTATTAATCTCATATTTTGAGTTACTGTTTATAGCTGTTTGGAAAATTAAATTAAACATAATGGTAGGTATTGGTAAGAAATTAATTTGATAATTGGAAACTAATTTTTATCTAAGACTATTAAATAATAGACGATAATGTTATTAAATACAGTGTTTTGCAACATTCAACCAATAACGCTTTATACATTAAGAGCACTCGCTAATTGATAAAATTTAATAGAGAATTTTAATGGTGCTTTATGAATAAGGGGTAATATTTTAATAAACACCAGATGTAAGTGGATTATGACGACCATAATTTGTTAAATGTCTATTTTTATATAACAATGGTCAATTCCCATTTCATGATATAAAATTAAAGTGAAATAAAGCAAGCATACCGGGACAATTTAATAAACCATTGATCAACTTATGTAAGAATAGTAAATTAGCATCGTGCCTTCGTTTTTCAAGATAGTAAATATTAGTAATTCCAAAAAGTTAACCAGTGGTGGCTCGTGACTTATGTAATAGGTAGGGCTGAGTATAAGGGCACCAAAAAATCAATACCAAAAATCATTTAAACCTAAGCGACTGAATACTTTCATGATAAATAATTATTACGAAGATAAATAAACAACGCCACACTAGTTCAACATAGCAAAACAAACCCCAAAGCGATCGTCAGATGAGCTGCTCTGAGCTGCTAACGTCGCCAACGCATGAATCCAAAAATGCCTAATTTCTTTCCAATATTGTTCTATACTTATTATAGTAATTAATAAAATTAATGGTATTATAAGTATACCTTTTAATTAAGTCCAAAGAACGTAAATTTCTGGATGATATTCTTAAGCCTTTAGTAACCCAACTTTTTTCTTTTTATTTCTTATTTTCTTAAGAGGAAATGCCTTATCAAAAACTTTTTGTAACTGACTATGAAAATGTTTCAACGGTTCAGCTTCTGTTAAAATATTGTGTCAACTTACATTACTACATATCTGTGAAAACCTACTAAACGTTGACTGACTAAATATACGTCTATAAGAAGGTGAGCTGCTGCTAACCTCGATGCTTTGATAGACGTCGCATAAAGCCGCATCGTGATCAGAAAAGCTGCAAGTGACAACACCGCAGTTAATATTTGCTTTACTCACATTAGTACAAATGTAGTCCAAGGTACTTGTAATTCTTGTAGGTTCTCTTACATGCATTGTCAAATTAAAACAATTTAAAACAGTGGTTAAATTACGTACAGTGAACTGTCTAAATAATTGACATTAAAATCACCCGTCAGAATGATGGTAGCATTCACTGGCAATTATTGTGATAACATTAGTTCTATTCTATCTAAATATTCTTGAAATTTTCATGAAGAGGATCTATAGATAAAAATTGACGATGTTCCACTGTTTTGCCATCTAAATATTTGAATAATTGAGGTAGTATTGTTGAAATAAATGTCTTAATTCGTTGACGTGTAATTGGCAAATATACGATTGTAAAGAACGTTTCAAATCAGTCTCAATAAACCTACAGTTCATCAAATTTCTAGAGGTGTTCGACGCCCAGACAGAGAACGCGCTACGTGTGACTAAGATAGCTATTGTACAGTCTGCTAAACAAGTTATTTTAAATAGTTTTTAATATTTTTAGGTAATTAAATTTTAAAAGTGTGGAATAGTTTAGGGATTAAATTGGTCAGATTGGACTTTTTTAGAACGTTTTTAAAAGCAGCTAAAGATAGTATGTAGAATTGAAAATAATTATTATGCCATAAAAGGTGTTTTGGAATTCCTTCAACCTTTTGAAATTGAGTCAGAAAATATAAATTTTATAGGATAGCGGAAAATACCTATAATTTTTTTGTAGGCCTTTGTAAATCGTGGAAATAGTTTATATTTTATTTCTACCTTATTAAGGAAAATGGTACTTATTATTAATAACGGTTGTTCCTGAAACATTACTAAAATTTTCGAAATTTTGTTTTTCTACAAAATAATAAACTATACTATTTAGAAAAAAATTTATTTCTCTTATAATTTTATAAAAATAACAGGGGAATATTTACATTTCTTGATCTATTAAACAAAACGATAAATTATCTCGACGAATGACACCATGTTCTAGTACGGAAGCTAGCTTTACATTTTTGTTGGTGGTTTCATGGGTTTCATATCAATTTTTTGTAATTGTAGTTTACACGTAGGTACATATACCTCTTAACACTTGTTTTCTTTATTAAAAAAGTGTGTTGTTGTGATTTACGTCGAAATAAGTCAAAAACAACTTGAAACCCCATATAAAATCAAAAAGGAGAAACGGAAAAAAATTGAGCCTGTAAATGAACACAACTCAGAAACAAAAATAGCTATCTAATAATAAAAAAATAAAATTTGATTCTTGTGCATCTTCGTTGTAAAAATAGATAATACTTTTTTGATCTTAGGTACAGATATAATTTTAATGGTCTTCCGAAAAACTTTCTTCAGTTTCCATATCAGATTCAAAATCAGTCTCACTGTCACTGTTTAAGTTAATTATAAATCTATCAGTTGCCTCATCCAAAGTAACTTCTCTGTCATAAAATTTAGATTCCCACATTTTAGCATTATTACAACGAGATTGCCACTCCTCTTTAGAAAACGTATCAAAAAAGTCTTCACACAACAGTTGTACGTCTTGCCTCTTAAATGTAGTGTTGTTACTAGCTACATATTGTTTCAATGATGCCCACACTAATTCGATCGGATTAAGATCGGGATGATACGGTGGCAAACGCAAACAACTAAAACCATGTTCATTTATCATTTCTTCAATTGCATACCTCTTAAATCGTGACTTATACAATAGCACTAAACTGTATAATTGCGTTTTGAGCATATCCTCTTCGTAAGCAATATTATGATTCCTTAACCAATCCTGCATGTCAGCTTTTTTAGAAGTTGACGTTGTGCTTTATTTACCTGGACATTATGGTAAGGAGCATTATCAACAATAATGACGCTTCTTGGAGGGAGGTTCGGAAACAGCTTTTCTTTCAACCATTTAGAAAAATTATTAAAATTCATTTCATCGTGGTAGTCTCCACTTTTGGTTCCAGATTTGAAAATTAACCGGGCATTCGGAATAAAGCCCATTTCATCTCCTGCATGGACAATAATTAGTCTATCACCTTTATTAATTGGTTTCTTTAATCCCTCATTTGAATTATCACTCCAAGCTTTCTGGTGTGTGTGGGAGGCATGAATGTATGTTTCATCTAAGTAGACAATTGGACGGCCCTCTGCTCGATAACTTTTTAAACGAATCATATAGTCTAAACGTAGCTTTTGAATATCAAACCTTTCCATTAATATTTTTCTGTTTGTTTTTGTTTTCCGCCAACGAAATCCTAGCGACTTTATTATTTTTCTTAAACTTTCATAGCTTCCTTTGTACCCTGTAGCTTCTCTAAATTTAGTCAGAATTGTGTTTAATGTTGGAACAATATTTTCCGAGATTAACATGAACAGAATAATTCTTTTTAAAATACCTTTGTCAGCTTCATCTATATCATTAACTGTTTTTGGTTTTTTAATGGTTTTTCTTGGTGATGAAAATTCCGATATCTCATGGT